AATATAAAATTAGTTAAAAGAATCTATATATATATTAAAGCAGAGCAGCTGAAATTTTCCCGCTCAAACCTGCTGCATTAATTACTGTAGTAATGGTAAGATAATTTACTTTCACATTATTTGAGATATTGTCTTAACAATTATTGTACTGTAGTTTAATTAACTTTAATCTTTATATATTAATTGCAATCTTAGGAAATTGTGAATACACATTAAAACAATATATGCAAAAAAAGTTTGTTACAAATAAATGTTTAAATGTTATTCTTAATTATGCATTCGAAAAGTGCACTTCAATTTTCATGGATAAATAATTGGCTTCAACTATATCTATTACTTAACATTTTGTTAATTTCTATGAATTAATTATCATACATACAATAAATATAATTATTTGTTACAATTAGAGACTTATTTTACAATTAATTACATATTGTGAATTTGCATTTAAATTTTCCATTGGATTCTCTCTCTCTCTCTCTCTCTCTCTCTCTCTCTCTCTCTCTCTCTCTCTCCCTCTCTCTCTTCGTTAGTAACATTGTTACAAATAAAGACTTAATATTGTACAAATTATTTATTTTGAATTTATATTTGAATATATATATATATATATATACATATATATAAGTGAAATAACTTTGAGGAAAAAAATCTTTTAAAAAATACATTAATTACGGGAAATAAGTTATGTCACCTTCTACATATGATCACTCATTGAAATAATAATTATACTATTTTATTATACAAAAATAAATATATTATTATGCATTGGAAGATTGCATTCCAATTCTCATGGCCAAATAAATTTTAAATTAATTTGTTAATCCTTTTGAATATAACTCAAACAACAAAATATAATTATTTTTTATGACGATTCATTTTTATAAATAATTATTTAGCGTAAATTTTCATTCCAATTATCAATTTTTTTTTTTTATTTTCTTCCTTTGTAAGTAACATAATTTTTTGGATAAGAAAACTTTATATTATTTTCTACAACACCCTTGAGTTTGCATTCGTGTCATAATATTAACACACACACACACATAAACACACACACACACACACACTGAAGTAACGTAGCTTGGAGAAAAATCTTTTCCTTCTCTAACTACATTAATTACTAATAATTAAATTTTCTCACTTTTATGTATGACCTATTATTAAAATAATAATTAAATTATTCTTTACAAATAAATAAATAATTATATATATAATTATGCATAGAGAACTTGCAGTACTATAATTTTGATGGAAGAATAAATTTTAAAATTATTTGTCATAAGTAAGTAACAAATGAGAGACAGGGGGAGATATAATATAAAGTTATATTTGTCATAAGTAATGTAATTTATTTGACTAAAAGGGATAAAATTTTTATAAAAGTAAAATAAAAAGTATCATCTACATATATTGGATACTACCATTCATATCCATGTGAAATGTATCTCGAAAATAGTGAGTAACCTCTTTACTTCGACATAACAGTTTAACTGAACTTAGGTTTCTTTTACCAAGATCAATCATGAATATGGAAAAAAACAAAAGAAAAGAAAAAAAATAAGACAACTTAGAATCGAACATAACATCAAATTTGATTATATTATGGGTAAAAAAAATACATAGATATTTCAAACTATTATTAATAAAAATAGAAATGACAACATAAATTGAAAGAGTTAGAGGATATCAGAGAGGTGCAACTCATAATTGTCAAACTGAAGAGAAAATTTATATTGATTTTGGTCTGAATTGTTTAACTAAAAAAAATGTTTAATTTTTTTTGGTTGGTATAAGTTATTTTTTTTTTTTCAAATTAATGAAGAGGCATTCTATACGATGTGCATAAACTTTTTGCCATCATTTTAGATTTTTTTATTGGTCCATAATTATAAAATTATAATTTATGAATAAAAAACATAACAAGTTAATTTATTGTTTTTTTTTATTCGTATATCTCTATTGTTTTCATAAGAATAATGGGAAGATATTGTCTTTGTCAAAACATTACGACAAATAAAGTTTCGCACGAAATAGTATAAATACGACAACTATTTTTTTCTTTTTATTTTTTATCATTCATCACAAGTGTTAGCTTTACATTTTATTGTTTTAGTGTTACATATTATAATTTAAGTATTTTATTCTTATTGCTTTGCAAGAATTATATCAATGTTTATTTCTAACAAAATAAGCTAAATATGGTTCTCATAAAGTTAGCGCAAAATAAGTGTTGGTTATTGATCTGAACATTGAGGGTGACACATCTTAATCGTTACCTTAATATGATTTATAAATATAAAGAAAAAATAAAATTTGAAAGTATATAAAAAAAAACTAATTTGATATATATAGACAATTATATTTTTATTTTTCTACTTTTAGATGGACGTTTATTGTTACAATTTGTATACAAAATAAAAGTTAAATGATTTAGTGCTTGAACATGACATCGAATTTGATTTTATTTGCGAGTAAGAAATGGACTAATACTGCGAAATGATATTGGGAAATAAAAATAATAGTAATAACTAAAAGAGTGAGGGTGTCTCAACCATAAGGGAGACAAAGAGTGATGGACGATATTGACTATATAGACAGAGTAGGACAATGTATATTTATCATTCAATTATTTAATATAATGTTTGGTGTATATGTGGTCTTTTGTAATAGTTTTGGTCCTAAATCATTGAATAATTTGAGCCCAAAATACATAGTTTGTTTACTTTTTTAGTTGATATCATTTGTTTCATATGGACTTAAATTTGAGGTCATCTAAAGTTACTAAAGTGACTGCCTACAGTTAATCTCTTTATTGATCCACAATTATGCAACTATAAATTTCGATTAATAAAATTAGCATAATGCGTTAACTATTGCTAATTGCTTGTTATTATGACACATGTTTTTCTCTTAAGATAATTACAAGAATATATTATCGCTACTGAATATTTGCAATAGATAAAGTTCAATACGACTTACTATAATGTATCAACTACTTTTTCTTATCATATTTTATAGTTGTTAGTGTTATCAAAATAAATTGTACTATTTTATAATTTGTATAATATAATTTAAATGTCATTTTCTCATCATTTGACGAAATTATATTAACTTACATTCCACATGAGTTATGTGGAAAAAATAAGTAATTTGTTATTGACATGAGCATTAACGATTATTGTGCATATTTGTAACTTTACATAAGGTGATCAATCTTGCACGTCATTCTGAGCACCATCGGACTCATTTTGCAAATAAACGAAGTTAATATTTATTTAGAAAATTATAAAAAGTGAAAGATACGTGGACCTAATTTTAAGGTAAACGCATGCGCGGTTCAAAATTGAGTCATTTTTGTATTTTTTTCTTAAGTATTTAATTTATTTTTTTAATTTTAATTGACTCATATTTTGTACATGTTTATTTCAATTATTATATATAGTATTAATAATATCTTTAGTTATTAATGAAAAAAAATTATGTCATTATCAAAATATTTTAGGCAAAAATTTCAAGGAGTGTTATCAATGTGACAAATACATTAGATATCACAAATGTTTCTTTAATTTGAATTTATTTAATTTGAAACTATTTATTACAAAATATGTTGTATTTTATAATCACATCCATTATATGTTTATTGTTTTTATAGTCACGGACCTCTATTGTCTGATGATTATTATTTTATGATGATAATGGTAATAATGAATACAGTTCATCCACTAATAATGTTATATTTAGGAAAACAGTTTAAAATATAATGAATAAAATTTTCATTTTACTTTTTATTATCTCTCAACATATTTTCTTAATATTATTTATTTATTTAAATAATAATTCATTTAACGTCATGTTTTAATATCAGGCCGCGCAACGCGCGGGTGGCGTACTAGTTTTAATTATAATTTACCGACACAGATATCAATAGCCCACAGACAGGCCCTAGCCCAATTTTAAAGCGTCAAGTAAATTCCATAATTAAACAATGAAAGGAGCCTAAAATGGTAGACTGTAATCAAAGACAGCGACCTCATACGCCAATTATTGCTCTACTCCATAACCAATCGCATTAAAAGGAAAATTAAATTAAATAAATAATAAATAAATAAAAACTACGTGATCTCGTCCACTATAAAAATATCGTATGATACGCTTTAATTGATAGACAAGCCAACTAAATATTAATCTTTTAACAAATTGTATACTTATGTCGTGTCAAATATAGTACGTTTATTTATATTGATTTTGAGAAAATTATATTTGAAAGTGAATATGTGTGTTTATTTAAAATGTATAATTTTTTTTTTGGTACAGGGACCTTCCGGTTTCCGGATCCACAGGGGAACCGACTAATCCGGAATCGAGCCGGGTAGGACCACAAGGGCGGCAAAACTCTCCCTCAAGAGTTTTTAACACTGCTGCATTCTCATGGCTCGAACACGAGACCACTGGTTAAGCTAAAAGAGATCCAAGCCATCTCATCCAAACGCTCTTGAGTTAAAATGTATAATTGATTGACCGTTATGCCAGACCAAATATTTTTCTTATTAAAAACAATTAGTCTCGTGTTTGGACAATATACTTTTCTTACAAATATTCATACATTTATTAAAAAATATTATATTTTAAAAAAATTACATAAACATAAGTATGACATTTTTATAATATATAAGTGTGTATTTTAGTCGTATAATATATATCAAGAGGAGATTTTATGGTGTCGTTACGGAACAATTCCACGACGGCTACATAATGATTTAATGGTTATAAATTCTGACAGGATGGTTCCGAAACGGGTCTGTAGTATTTTCATGTATTAACTCTTGACCGTCTATCGTGTAGACAATCTCAAATTTGGTTGTTAAAAAATGTCCATTTGCCACCACACACATACTAACCAAAAACAAATTTGTGTACCACTCAACAAAACAAAAACCTCTTATTAACACTTCCAAACCAAACCCAATCAAACCTGAATAAATCTTGCGGCAGCCGATATGGACTACGGCATCGTGCCGGAACCACCTCCCTACCACGACCACCCGCTCCTCCGCCGCCGGAGCTCCGCCTCCGCTGTGGCCCAGCTCGCCCTCCTCTCCGACCACAACTCGTCCACCTCCACCAGCACAACCACCACCTCCGCCGCCGCCACGTCATCGTCCTCCTCCTTCCCCTCCGACGACCTGGACCTGCTGTCGATCAAGCCGGCCTCCCACAGCTACACCTCGATCCGGGACCTGCTGCCGGCGGCCGCGGTCAACTCCCCCAAGCCCGGCCCGGCCCTCATGACCCCGCCCGGATCTGACATCTGCATCCGGAACCGCCTCGTCAAGCAGGCCGCGTGGGCCTACCTCCAGCCGATGTCCACCTCCCCAGGATCCTCCGGCGGCGGGTTCCTTCGCCGCCTGTGGCCACGCGCCGCCGAGTTCATCGATTTCGTCCGCCGCGGCCTCGCCCGCGCCGTGAGCTGGGCGTTCCGGGTTCTCTGGATCCGGAGCTCCAGATAGCGAAAACCGGGTCCGACCATGCGCTTCGCGTGGTTGCTCTATATTGATTGGCTATTGCGTTATTCGATTTTCGATTTTCATACCCAAAAATTGTACATGTTTTCGAATTTTCGTGTTGATGTGAATTAAAATGGTTAAATTGGAATTTACCTAAAAGAAGGGTTCAAATTGAAAAGTTAAAAAGGAAATAAATAAGGAATATGAAATTTCACTGCGTGTGTCATTTTAAAATCATATACCTATAGCGTACAAGTCCAGTCATATACCTATCGGCTATCACCCTCTCGCTCAGGCGATCCGCCAGCTAGAATCGAAGGATGGTCTCTTAGTTCGTGTGATTAGGAACGGGTAAAGCAATCGCTCTATTGGTCTTATCATCAAAAGCTCGAAATATATGTCTCATCATCAAAAGTCGGGTTTTGCATGGTTCCACGTTTCACTCGCTCGCACATTTATTTTACAAACGACAATCATTTTCTTTTTTACCTTATACATGTATAAATTTAACATTCAATTCACCGAAAAACATACGAATAAATACTGAAAATCTCTCTCTCTCTGTCTCTCTCATATTCAAACACTCACCTATTTTCCATCATTCGTTAGTGTCGGTCCCTTACTTATATTGGTGGTCTCTCCCATCATTTACACTAACCCGTTTTGCGCATTAAATTACCACTTAATACATAATTAAGTTGGTAACTTATTGTTATCAACAATTTGATGCTAGGAGAAGGACTCATTCAAAGGTTTTTGATGAATCATCACACTTTGTTTCATAGGAATGTACATACTTCAACCAACTATGTCGTCTTGAAGCCACGCAAATGGCCGGAACAATAAGGGAATTCTCCCCCTCATCAAAATGTCGCTCAAAATTTTAAAATCCTGCCTTTGCCAAGAGTCTTTGATGGAAACGAAGGCCAACCTCGGAAGCACATGGAAGAGGAGAACTTCTCGGCCTCGCGCCGCAAGACCTAGTCATGCCGCGACAGAAGCCACTGTTGCGAGTCCTTCACGTTGTGTCCCTCATCACAAACCGACAGAAACTATGGGTCTTCAAGGCGCCACACCACAACACTTCAACTTCTTCATGACACGAGCTCAACCACGAGTCAATAGAAAGTTAGGATTTCCTCACGCCGCACCGCGACGCAAGTTGCACCACGACATTTAGGAGGTCTGCACACCGTGAAGGCTGCCGTGTCGCGAGAGAGTTGTGAGACTGGACATGGACGACAATTATATTAGTTTCATTTGCATTTTTTTATTTCAGATTTTATTTGAATTCCTTAGGTTTTGACGAAGGCTTGGATGTTTATTTTTTGGCTTAAGATATCTTGTATGGGAGATTATGTTCAATATGCAATAAACTAACAAAAAGCGCTCGTTTCCGAGCACAAATTCTTGTGTCGGTCGACGGCAGGTTAGTGCGAGTTAACACATTGTCCTTACGCTCGAGACACGATCGCAAAAGTCTCAATCAACTCTTTACTCGAATGCTATAATAATCCTCCCAATAATCCCCGACAAAATATGTTCCAAAAATCCTCTTCAAACACATCCATAAATTCAGTTTTAACTTGAACTTTTAAATAATTTAGATAGATTATTAGATAAATATAAATTTTGTAACAAATACTTTATAAACTAAAATTGATGTTTTTTCACAGTCGACACGAAAATGGCACATCCATTTGGCAGGAAAACACTGCAAAGGCATCAATTATGCAGTTATGCTACTGAAAACATTTTCCTCTATTTCACGAACTCTTCAGTGTACCACCACCTTCAGCTTCAGGTCTGTGCGAAAACCACACAACACCCCTTCTTCGTGTTTTTATTTCCTCTCAAGTGCTCCTAAATTCATCTCCATTTTCGTGCTCAATCGCAGGAGCTTTCTTCCGGCGAGGCGCTTAAAATCGCAGATGGGCGTTGAAAGCTTGAGCTTGATTCGGAAAAGCAAGCGCGCGAGTTTCCGGCTAATCGACGTTTTTGGGTATTTTTAATGTTGTTGTTATGGTGTACCATTATCATCGAAAAATGGGTTTGAGCTGTAAAATTGGGATCGCGTTTGTTTCAGGTTTAAAACGGATTTAATGGAGATTCCCAGCCAAGACACGAAATTTCATGTCCTGTTTATCCCTGGCAATCCGGGTATTTGATTGATTGCTTTGAATTGTGTCTGTAGATGTTGCTGGGTGACTGAAATCTTTGAAAAACACAGTGGGATTGATGTGAATGTTTGTTGTGATAGGTGTTATCTCGTTCTACACTGATTTCTTGGAGTCTTTGTATGAGTTGTTGGGAGGGTCTGCTTCTGTCACTGGCAAGTATACACACATATATATAAGTTATCTCTTGGGAAAGTTCTACCGATCTTAGCTTACAGTATGTCGTGCTAATTGCTTTTTTTTTTTCGTTTTCCATGGTGAAGCCATAGGCCACATATCCCACTCAGAGAAGGTGAGTATGTTATATTAGTTTTTAAGTTTCCATGTAATGTTTGTGACTTCTATTCGAATACAAGGCGATTGGTGTTATGTGCAGTTGTGTAGTGTTTATATTTTCCCAATCTTACTTATTTGGAGTTCGAGTGAATGTCTGTGATTTCATGGTTTCTGTATGGGGCAGTTGGTATGAACCAGTAGTATGTTGATTGTTGAAACTTTTTTCTTCGATATTATTACTATTGTTATCTTTTTCTTCTCCCATCTGTAAAACGATGATCCTTGTTTTTAAAGCCTTCATAGTGTCTGTCATATGTTCCATTGAGTTTCTGAATGACTGCATAATGATCTCCATATAACTTCAAATGGAAACTCATTCCATATTCTATTGTTTTCTTTGATAGGACTGGGGATCTGGGAGGTTGTTCTCTTTACAAGAACAAATAAGTCATAAGGTAAATTTTTGCAGCACTTTTGGTTTTTGGTAAAAGGGCTCACTGAAAGAGATTTAGATTATTATTCCAATATGAATTATGAGTTTGTTATCTTCATCATGTATGAAGCAATTAGCGATGTCGCATAAGGCCATTGTTCTCTGTCCTCTAATAATCTTCATGTATACGTTCATTTTTCTTGTCGAAATAGGAGGTGGGATGATGTGGTAATATGTGAAATATGGTTTATCCATGTTTGTTATAATAAGTTTTTAATTTCTTCTCTGCAATTCAAAACTTGTTGTATCCATGGGATTTTTCGACTCACTCCTTTTTTCTTTTTCCCTTTATCTTCGTCTTTTACTCTTTCCTAGATAAGCTTCATAGAGCAGGAACTTGGAGATGTTGAAGTACCTATAGTGCTGGTAAGCCTTGACCACATTAGAAGTCTCAACTGCCATTTTTCAATGACCAGTAATGCTTAACCAGTTACATATTTTTAATCATAAATTGGTTTTGTTCACCACCTCTGTTATCTTCGCTTACATTTTTAGTCATCATAGGTATTTTTCTTGATGTCTATATTGATGGTGAATATTTGACACGTTAGTATGAGCCTTCAAACATTAGGCCTGCCACAAAGGTAGACAATCGATCTAGAACTAGAAAATTAAAGGAAATAAAAGATACAACAATGCATGACATTTTATTTAAATGTTTAACGTGTAGTTTGAGAGAAAAATGTTAACAATTCAGTTTAGCGCGATGAATGTTTCTATTCAGCTGGACGAATATGCAACAAACTGATGTGGCTAGTTATTTTTATTCCAGTTTCCTGAAAGATAACTTCGTGAAACTTGTGAAAGCACATTCAATTTTTATTTTTTATTTTTTCTCTTGATTTATATAATTTTGTTATCATAATCCTGAAATGTTAAAGACTGTTTTTAAGTATGCTATGTTTTTTTCTAATGATTTGATACTTAATTCACACTGAAGGTCGGTCATTCCATTGGTTCATATATTTCTCTTGAAATACTAAGAAGATGTCATGAGAAGGTATATAATCAGTTACTCACTAGTTTCATTTTTGCTCTCTCTCCCTTTGTTCTTTTTTCCCTTTTCCGATGAAATTCTATTAACACTTGTTTACTTTGCCGTAGGTCATATACTGCATTGGCCTATACCCATTTTTGGCTCTCAACGATAAATCCTCGGCACAGTCCTCGATTAAAAAAATTGCAGCGTAGCTTGTCCCTCTATCCTCTTCCTCTAAGTCTTTTATTCTTGATTAATCAACAGCCTCATGGCTTTATACAAAAAATTCTTGTAGGAAAATTATGATGAAATTATTTCGACAGGCTGCCAACTATATGTACTGTACTTAGCTTTATGGGAGGCTTGTTAGGTAGACTCCCGTCTCATATTTCAAGATTCCTTGTGAAAATATCGATGGGGAAATCATGGTCATCTTCTTCAATCGATGTTCTATGCACCCATGTTCTCCAGGTCGAGTTTCATTACTGCCTTCTTCTTCTTCTTCTTCTTCTTCTTCTTCTTCTTCTTCTTTTTTTATTTAATTTATTTATCTGTGCTTGGTTGGGATTGGAGATCAGGCAATTTTTTCAGCCTGTGTTTTTTTTTTCATATGAAATGATTATAGCATATCATGAAATTTGAATAATTTCTCCATCCAGTTCACAATAAAATCATTTGGACCGAGGAAAAGTTGTCCATGATAAAGAGTGACTTGTAAGTAAAAATGTTTTACTTACATATGAAATGCAACCACATATATTCCAACTAAACAATTAACCTCCATATGCAGCATTTTACTACTTTTCCTTACTCGTTTCTTTACCTTACGGCGCCTTTTGTTATAATTTTTTGAGGAAGTGATGAACGAATTTAAAAAACTGAACAAATCTTATACTTTTCACATTTCTTAGCTGCTAATCGTTTTTTTATTTTATTATTATTTTTATTTATTTTTTATAACTCTAAATGGTTTATCTATAGAATTCTGTATCGCATTCATTTGACTTGCTCCATGCTCACAATACTTTCTTCTCACAGTATCATACGATCCGGAATATGCTCTATATGGCAATGACCGAATTCCAGGAGGTGAATTTTTTGTCTATCCTTTGAAGTTTACCTGTTGACATAAATGGTGTTTGTAATTTTTTGGCCTTGCTATATTTTTCCTTTCTTGTTAGCTACCAAAAACACCGGATTTGGATTTCATCCGAGAAAAGAAGACCGAAATCGCACTTTTGTTCGGTCACGATGACCACTGGGGCCCCTTGCATTTATACCAAGAGGTAATACTTTCGCGGGATAATCATCATTCTATCGAAAACTTAAGGAATCAAAAAATGGTTCATAAATTAAAAAAAAAAAAAA